TTCTTTCCTCTTTTTGATGATCTGTTTCGGCTTTTTTTCTTTCTTTTTCAGCCTTTTTTTTTTCTCTTTCAGCTTTTTTTTTTTCTTTTTCTAATTAACATGCTGCCTGCTTCTGGGCAGTGGCTTCTTTTTTTCTTTTCACATTTTCAGCTTTTGTTCTGGCTAGCTCTTCTGCCTCTTCCAACTCCCGCAAAGAATCCTCATTGGTAAGAAGTTTGGCAAATGGAAATGTTCTTCTTTTTTTTGTGGGTCGGGATTGAGATTCGGTGTCATTAGATTCTTGTTCAGTAGTTTGTGAGGAAAGATGGAAAGCAAGATACTTAAGTGCCATTTTTAATAAGCAGGTACCGGGAGTTTTAAAAGTCTCTAGTTCTTCACTTATTAACTCATACTTTTGTTTCAATAACTCATTTTCTTTTTTCAAGATCTCAATCTCTTTTTCAAGAGACATAAAATCTGCTTTTAATGATTCTGTTTCACGTCGAGTGGCATACTTATGAGTTATTGAAAGGGATGCGACAGAATTTGGTTGAAGAGAGGAAGATGTAGATAAAGAATTTTGTTGATTAGAATGAGATAAAAATGAGGAACTTGACTGAAACGAATGAGGATGAGGTAAGGGTAAAAGATTAGCTTGTTCCGTTGTTAGTGAAGGGGCAAGACGGTCAGGACTTATTGCATCGGGATTAAGTGGCCAAATTCCTGTAGCTCTATAGGAATTTTTAATTGCTTCTGGAGTATAGGTTGCTGCAAATGCTGGGCCAAGGATTCTTGCAAATGTATGCTTGGTTGGCACTTCACCTTTGCTATTATGAAGCTGGTCACAACTCTTACTATATTCACTTTTAAGTGTGGCAAAGGGAAGTTCAAAGGGTTGAAGAATGTGAGTCGTATGAGGGGGAAGCGCATATAATAAAACTCCATTCTCATTACAATATTTTATGCTTGTGTAGTTAATATGGCTCTTATGCCCATCAAGCATGAGCAAAACTGGACAAAAAGAGGGAATCGACCTGACAAAATGCTCAATATACATTTGGAAAAGTTCCTCTTTCATATATCCGGAATTGGTAAACCCCATAACAGAGCCATGTGGGGCACCAGATAATAAACCTGGGATTGCGCGAATACCTTTATAGATGAATAGTGGAGGAATAAAATCACCAGCGGCTGAGATTGTTGGTGCGACAGAAATATGATCATGTGTATTTCCTTGCGAGATTTTATGAACTTGACGAGCTCCTTTTATTTTGAGAATTTAAGGTAATAAAATTAACTTATTGGTTATATAAATTAATAACATGTTTAATTTTTTAATTACTAACCTTTTGTCACAAGAACTTTTTGAACTTTGGGAGTGATAACGAAGCCAGTCTCATCCATATTCCATATGTGGTTTGGGGTAAGTGAATATTCATCAATTATCTTCTCTAATTTATCAAAATGATCTTTTATTATTATTGGATTTGCCCTTTGGGCACGTGTCTCTGTTAAAGCCTGAGGCATTCGAAAAGACAAGTCTGGATGGTCCTTCATGAAACGATTTCACCAAGCTCTTCCAGGCCCTTTAACTGCAAACGGATGGGAACAATTATCATTGCGTACTATCTCCATCACACAATGATTCACACCTGATTTCGTTAAGCCAAATCCCAACTTCTGCATATTTTTGCAGCAACCCACTAATTGTTCTTTTTCATGTTTACTTAGAACTGTCCCAGGGCCAGAACGTTTGGGTAAACCTTTTTCAACAACGCGCCTAAGTGTTGTCTCTGGAATTCCAAACCTTGAGGCAGTTAAATTTACACTAGGATTCATGAGCTTGCAAGTTCTTTAAGGGCAGCTTCAATTGTGGCATAATGATTTTTATGACTAAGCCTTATTGTTTTTTTATTAGATGTTTTTTTAGACACGAGTTTCATTTTTTTCATTTTGGCCTTCAAGTTTAATTTTTTTACACATTTGGATTTAGTCTTTTTAATAGTTTTCATTTTTTGTTTTAATAGTTAACTGTATTAGTGAATTTAGAAAATAATTTTTGAACAAAAATAATCGCGGTTTTATTGATACTTCAAAATCAGAACTGTTGAATTTTAGATTTTTAAAGCATTTAAATAGCATCCTTTTATTGCAAGATAATAAAGAACTGTCTTATTTTTATTGGATAGGAATGGCAAATAAAAGTGTTAATTGTACTCGCTAAAAAAATTTTACTTTAAATGTGCTTTGCAAATTATGCAATCTTTATGATTAATTTATTATAAAATGATTGCGATTGTGATTGCTAAGGCTGACTGATTCATTATGAATAAAATAAATTGATCAGCTCTAGAATCACGATCACAATTATATTTTCGAATTAGATCTATAGTGAATATAAATTTAGAATCGTGCGCACGCAATTGTACATAGTGAAATTTAGTTAGTTTTTATGAGCTAGCTTTATGCATATAGAGATTTATATGTATAGTAGTGTTTTTGTTTTAATTTCCTTTTAGAATTTAGCAATCTATAAAATTAATTACCATTACTTTTTAAATCAAGTCGCTAACCATTTTTAATATATCAATGGTTGAATCTGCATCAAAGGTGTTATAAATCGCACGATTATATCAGGGAGAAATGAAAAGTAAGCACTACAACCATAATCACTATTGTGATAATCTTCATGTTTCTTGTTATCCTGTTAAGTCATTTTCAACAAAAAAAGAATTCGAACAAAAACATTTTGCCGTATACAGTCAGACCTCTTTAAGTGCACGTCCTTGGAACTACACTTTAATAACGTGCATATAGAGAATAATAAGAAAAGGTGCATTTATAAAGGTCGAGTATATATTTGGACCAGTACTTGATCATGCATTCAGAGAGGGTATGCACTTATAGAGGGTGCACTTAGGGAGGTCTGACTGTACTAAAGTTCAGCCTTATACGATTTCGGGATTTTTTTTATTGTTCAAATTATGAAACTTTTTGAAGTTGCTTAAGTCCAAACACTAATCATAGACTTATATTAAAATAATTGGCAATCGATCATTAATAAAGGAAAAAATGTTTATTTATATAAATTTATTGTTATTCATTCTTGTTTAAATTCATCAATTACAGCAACCTTTAAAAGCATTAAAAAATGGCGTATTCGCCATTGCTTAAACATTAATTTTTTTTTTAAAAAAAAAAAAATTTAATCTGTCGCTGCCTTTATCTAATAAACAAAATGTCACCACCCAGGCGATATAAAAAAAAAAAAGACAGCCCATTAAATTACCGTATATCATTAAACGTAAAGAGAACACGAAAAAGGTAGTGTATCATCAACCGATCTATAAACCTTTTATAAATAAAGATTTAATTATTGAAGGATTTGAAACCGAAGAAACTCTGGAAGCAGTCAGTTGTGAACAAAAAAGAAAGAAATCTCACGAAATTAATAAGAATTCTTCACGCGATGTAATCGTGATCGACTCACCTCATGAAGAAATTAATAAGAATTCTTCACATGATTGGATCATAATCGATTCACCTTAAATCTTTTATAATAAAACTTAAATACCATCTTAAATTTAGTCTGTGAAAAAATTAAGAGTTCTTATTAACAATTTGTATAGATTAAATCCGCAATTCCCTCTTATTTGAAATATAAATTGATATAATTTTTTCAGTTAGTAATAGTAATGAAAACTTTATAAATAGTAAACATTAGCTTATAAAGCATCTACAATTTATACTTGACAAATGATTAAAGTTTGGGTTTGTCTATACCCAAGTCCCAAATCCTAGCCAAAATAATATTTCAAAAACTTTATTAATATTGGACTTACCAACATCAACTTATTCATCGCGTTCTTCATAGCGGCAATATTCTTTATCTAAACAATAAAATATAAGTTATTCTTAGAGTTACTGTCAAACTTCAGTCAGACCTCCATAAATACATAGTTATACATATTCTATGTAAATTCTTTCTAATATAACTTGGTCCTATTTAATAAGAATTCTATGCATTTATTTTCTATAAATACACACCTTCTTTAATCAATTTTTTTTTTTACTGTAGTTCCAAGAGGGTGCATTTTGAAGGTCTGACTGCTGTATTTAGGGAAGTTAATAGTTTGTGCCAACATAGAACAAAGAAAAAAAAAATTTATTTAGGTACAGTAAAATAGGTAACTGCTGAAAAACTTGCTGAGGTAAATATATCAGCTTGGTGTTAGCAAAAAAAAAAAAGAAATGAGCATAATTTTTGTAACGGTAACGATAGTATAAATGTGATTATCGCTATCATAATACACGGTAATGTAGTAATTTATATCAATTTTCTTAAAGTAATAATCATTTTACACAAACTAGGATTTTTACTAAGCAAACCGTATTTCGTCTAATAAGTAAAGTTATCGGAAATGCCGTTTTTCATATATCTTCAAAATTTGATGCGATTTAGTTAACTTTTCATTAATCAACTTTCACAATATATGTTTTGGCGCAGTAGATAAATTTTCTGCATCAAGCCGTATAACGTGAAAGTCGATTAATGAAAAGTCAACAAATCATTCCAAACTTTGAAAATATATGTAACATGGCATTTCCGATAACTTTACTTAGTAGATGAAATACGATTTGCTTAGTAAAAAAATCCTGTTTCCTTGTTATATGTTCAATTCGCCACAATACCCACATTCGCCATAATACCCGCACCCACTTTATGTATTTTAGTGAGAACATAATTTTTTTCAGAGGCTATTCCTATTCAAACTAAGCCATTCTCGAACTGGTGTGAAATTATTAGATATTTCCATGCATGACTTTGAATAATCGTGAAGAACATCCATATTGGATTTGAAAATAGCCTGTATGCGATGACATTAGCATATGTCATACCTTAATTAACTAAAGCTTATAAGAAAAAAAATATTACCTTAACTGTGAAAAGAAGATCGATAATACTGACAATGCAAGGAAAGGTCGAATACTTAAAAGGGTAATTAACTGTTAATATCCTTTCAGCAACAAAGGTTTTAGGGGCACCCAAGTTCAATCTAAATAATTCGCCTTTGTCCTCTATATTTTTAATAAAATCTTAGCCAGCAGTATAACAACAGAACAGAAAACGATAGTTAAAAACTTACTATACAACACATATGCTAATACGTAGTATTTCTTTACAAATTTTATGTCTCTATTTCTATTTCAGAAAGTTTTGCAAATCGAATCTACAGAGTTTCGAAAACATTTTAAAAGATCACCATTATACTTGGGATTTTGGGTCTTTAATGGTGGGCTGATATTTTCAAAAAGTAAAAATTCTTGAGTAATATTTCCATAATTAAAAAGGATATCATCTGCCTTACATGCAGAGGCATTACTATCATGGTAAACTATTTCACGACGTCATTTAGATGAAGGAACATCATTTAAATTCCTGCCAAAAAAGTGTAGTTAGACTAGTAATCAATATAGGTTTATATATTTGTTCTTTTATTTGATTTACCATCTGCTGATGAATAATTTCGGAAAACAAAATTTTAGAATTTCAAAATCAGAAGATACTATTGTTGATGTGTATGTATTCTCATCCATAAGTAAGTCGAGTTTTTTGCCTTGCCCAGCTTGAAATTGTATAAGCTTGATTTCTAATATTCGTTTTATAAAGTCAACCTGTTTTGCATCAAAATTTTCAATGGTTGTTACTGATCGAATATTTGATATCGTGGTGGTTATCTTGTGCTAAATAGGAAATTACAATATTACTAAATCAAAAATAAACAAAAGGTAGACAAATATATTTATTCTCTTTACAGCATAGTTTTCTTGTATCCACTTTTTAAGTCCATCAATCTTGATGCGGGGTGGAGGTTGAGAATACGCTTTTTCTTTTAATCTATTGAAAAGTTCTCTATTTATTGGAGAGTTATCCGAACTTATATTGATGATGTCTGCTTCTGCTAAACTGATTTAATAAAAGTGTTCTGTATGCAAAAATGATTTACTTTATTGTTGTTGGAAAAAATAGCTATAGTACCTTCTTTCAACATCATTGTCAGTTAACTCATCTTTTTCTTTATAATTAGCCTTAATATTTTCTAGAATATTATTGATATCTTCTGAAGATACCTATGATTCACAGATCTTTAGAAAAAATAAAAAAAAGATTTCCATCGAAATATTAGGCATTCGTACTATCATGCCACCAGCTGATAAAATGTCTTCGTCATAATTTTTTTTCTTATTACTCTCAATTGAAGGTGCAAATTCCTTTTGTTCATCGCCTTCATTATCATTCAAGACCTAAATAATAAAAGGAAGTGTGAATTTATTTTATTGTGAATGATGAGATGAAAACACAATAAAGAATATCGCTATATTATTTTTTGGAGTTCGGATTGATTCATAGTCTTTCAACTTCCTTTTTTTTACATTATCATTAACTATAGCCTCATCCTCCTTCATTAAGATCGAGCTCTATTAAGAAAAATGTCACGTATAGCTTTCCAGATATAAATATTAAGACTAGCAAATAATATTAATACATACTCCTGAAATATAAAATGGATTTTGACTATTATCATTTGTTGCAGTTTTTGTCTATATATGATATTTTTACCAACTTTCTCCATATTAACAGATATAGTATGACATGCAATTTTATGAGAATTAGCTTGTACTTTTCTCTATAATCAAATTTGCAAACTTATTAGTTTCCTAAACTTGTGAGGAGGCTCTCTTTAGTAAACGTAATATCATTTATAACTTACTTCCACAAGTTTTTCACGCATTTGTAAATAAATATCAATAAAACCATTCTGAAAACGCTTCCTTGTCGTCTATATAATCAAAAATAAGTTATTTTAAATTTATTACGAGTAAACAAAATAGAAGAAACATACCTCCCACATTTGCTTTAGTTTTTTTACGGCTTCTGTCTGTTCTACTGTATTAAGATAACAAGTATAGGCCTTTTCCAGATCTTTCCATACTTTCTCTAGTAACGTATTTAAATAATTAAACTCAAAATCCTTAATAAAATCGTAGAAACGCAGAGGTGTTGACTTTTCCATAATGAGTTTTGAATAAAAGGCAGAACACATCTTAATTATGGACAGAAATTCCCTCTAATTGGAAATTCATTTTTGATCAGCAAATAATCCCGTGAACCCGTGAACTACTGTACTAATGAAAATTTTTAGAGTTGAAAATTTATTTTTCCTCAAACTCAAAAGGCAGATAAGTATTTTTCTGTTTCATTAAAGAGTTAGGTTTGTGCTCGGAACTTTGCTCAACCTTTTACAAGGCCCGGAGTCTCACCACCTGCCTGCTGTGTACGTGAACTCTGCTCAACCTTTCACAAGGCCCGGAGTCACCCCACATATGCTCTTTTTTGAAATTACTTTGTTTTTAAGCATAATGGTAAATACAGTTTTTAATCAGTTACTAAAAGATTATCAAAATTATAGATGTCAGTAGCTATGGTTATGAAAGTCCTGCAACCAGAAATAATGATCAATAATTTATTTTTGCGAAAGTTCATAACACGAAATTAAGGTATGAGTATTTCTGTTGTGACAGAATCAACTTCTGGGCTTGCAGAATAATTAC